GGCTAGGTGAGCAGCACTACACTATGGTCTGTGCTGGGCATGAGAGGTGGGTCAGGGTGCCGGCAGCTTCCTCAGGAGAGTTTGAATTTACAAGAGAATGTGGGGAAAGTAGAAGACTTGAGGGGTCACATGGATAAAACGTGGTTTGCTGTTCCAATTTGGGAGAGTGAGGATGGCTCCAAGAGCCCTCCTTTAGCTGAAGTGGCTTTGTTCCTGGGGGTTAGATGGTATCAACCACTGATGTATGTACTCATTGCCATTTTGTTCATTGCCTGTGGTTGTTTTGTAGGTCTTCTCTGTTTCTCTTCCTCGTCTCTTCTGTTCTCTTCTCTTCTGACTTAATAACTTTTTTTGGTATTATGTTTATATTCCATTCTTACTATCTCTTGTGTCACTGGTATAGTTTTCTGCCTCGTGACTATCATGAGGTTCACATATACCAGCCTATATGCATACCAGCTCTTTTAGGTACACACCAAATTAAGACTGAACACATTCAAAAGCTACGTTTTTTCCTCCCCACCCCATGCTTAATGTTTTTGCTGTTTCATATTTTGTGTGAGTGTCTATATTTCTTAACTGATGGTTGTGCCCACAGGAAGAGGTAAGTGAGGACCTCTCTGTGCCACCATCTTGAACTACTGTCTTCTAAATTATTCTTTAAAGAGAAAATCAATTCAGACCTCCTAGGACTTACAACTTCACATTCACTAGAATGATGATTATTTTGAAAATGGATAAAAACTGTTGGTAAGGGTGTGGAAAAATTGCAAGCCTCATACTACACTAGTGTAAATGTAGAATGGTACAACCACTCTGGAAAATGTTCCTCAAAAAATCAAACATAAAATTACCAAGTGAAGCAGCAATTCTACCCCTGATATATACTTAAAATAACCGAAACAGATGTTCAAACAATCACTTGTACACAAATATTCACAGTAACATTATTCACAAGAGTCACAAGGTGGAAACATCACAAATGTCCACCAGTTGATAAATGGATAAACTGAAGGTGGTATATCCATATAAGGAAATATTATTTCTCATAAGAAATGCAGTACTGATATATACTACAACATGGATGAATCTTGGGAACATCGTGATAAGTGAAAAAAGTCAGGCACAATGCATATACTGTAACTTGCTATCTATATAAAAAATCTAAACTAGGTAAATACATGGAGACAGAGAGCAGATTCAGTGGTTTCTGGGGCCCGGGAGGAAGATGGAGTGAGTAGTGATTACTCAATGAGTATGAAAATTTCTCTTTCTTTCTTTCCTTCTTAGCATAGGGTTTCCTTTTGGGGTGAAGGAAATATTCTGGTGATGGTTACACAACATTTTGAATGACCCAAATGTCTCTGAACTTACAATGGTTCAAATGGTAAATGTACTGTATGGGCATTTGACCACACATAGAAAGGAAAAGGAAAATTGTTGAGTGGGGTATGTGTCCAGGTAGCAGGTGGAACTGTCCACACCTCTGGTGCTGACCACATGCATTCTTTCATTGTTTCTGGTGCTGGAATGACATGTCCCTGGAGTATCTACACTTCACAGTGTGATTCTGATTCCCACCTGCTTGTGCAGAGTAGAGGCTGGTCTGGTTCAACCAAGCCTAAAACCCTTGATCTAATTCATCCCTGAGACCCGTCATTACCTTCTCACTGATGATCAAAAACCACAACTGAGCCTGATTCTCAAGTGTCTCCCTTGATGGCAAAGGGACAAAGTGATGTAAGAAGTGCTCGGCAGAAGAAGACATTTAAAGTGCCATCAGAATATAATGGGGTGACTCCCTGAAGCCTCTGGGTTCAGAGATGTTGTGAGGTGTTGGAGGGTAGCATTTAAACTGGAAGCTGGAGAACAAATAGAATGCACGTGAACAGAGAAGGGACACAGATGAGAACCATCAGGCATGAACCCTGGGACACGTGGGTGTGGAGGGAGGCACAGACACTGAAGTGAGAAACAGAAAGTGGGGAGAGAGTGGTGAAGCCACAGCTGTGAGACATGTGGGCTGAGCCATGGGACACATTTGGGGTTGCACTGATGGGGACCCGTGAAATGTGTGCAGGACAGTGGGCATCCTTCCCAACCACTTAGGGGGCTCCCTGACTCCAGAGGACAGGCAGCCTCAGACTGCCTTTCCCAGGTGGCCTTGCAGCTGCAATGCATGTGAAGCTATGGGCAGCACAGAGATCCACCAGGTGTCTCCCCAGCAGCCACTAAGGGTGCAGGCAATAGCTCTGAGGTGCCTGAGGCTGCTGGGGCTGCAGAAGTGAGATCCAGGTTCTGAGTCCCATCAGCAGTGCCATTCTGGGATCACAGTCTAGATAGAGCCTGCTCCTCCAGCCCCTCCTATGACAAATGGGTTCTTAACTCACTGTTGTACCTGCAGGGTCAAACCAGGGCTGGAGTGGAGAGAGGCCATTCATTCTTCCTTTGGTCACCAGATGTCCCTTTGCAGGGAGAGGGATAGGTAACTAAAATCCTGATGATGTGATTAGAGCCAAGGAGTGACACATTTTCCTCACTATCCAAAGGAGGAGGACTTCCTGTCCCTGGAGAGCCCCAGCCCCGCCTCCCACATACCTGACATTCTTTCTATACACCTGAAACTACCACATTCCTGCCTGTTGCCTGGAAAGCAGCTTTTTGGGCCAGATGGAAATCCCACTCAGATGCTGACAGGAGGGATATTTTCAATGAATCCCTGGGGAAAGGGAATGTCAGGAGGAATGCCAGGAAGAAAGCTGGCAATGCCAGTGTTCTAGTTTCACACCCAGCAGCCCAGCTCTGTCAGTCTCAACCAGGAGTCCCAGAACAATAACTCTGAGTTTGTCCAGGGGTGTCTGTGAGCAGGGCCTGCCTGTCCTTCCCAGAGGGGCCTGGCCAAGGGTGCATGGAAGTTCCTGGACTGGGATTCAGGAGGGAAGGGTTGTGTTCCAGACTGTGTCACTGATCAGTAGGACTGTGGGTGGGTGTCCTACTTGGATTCAGTGGGAGCAGGATGAGAGAATAAAACCAATGACTGAGGTCAGGTTCTTGCACTTACCACCAACAGAGCCAGAACCTTTTCTAGCCATTAGTAGAGGCAGAATCCCAACACCTAACCACAGCTTCAACCAAGACAGGCCCAATCCTGTATCCCAGATGGGGGCTCCCATGCAGGAGACAGAGCTGGCCCCCAGATGGCTTGTGTTCCACAGTGGACATGACAGGAAGGGGGTGCCTGGGGAGCTGGTGGTGGAATTGGACAGGGCCACGTGCAAAGGCCTCACTGATACCATCAGGAGGGGCCCATGCAGGATGCAAATCCCAGCATGTCTCACCCCAGGGCCTCCATGCTGTTGGGTTAATGGTTCTGTGTCCACAGATCTCAGGATCAGCTGTGTGCTCATCAATCCAGCCTCCCAAACCCCTGCCCTGTCCTGATCTCCCTCCACCATCCTGTCACTCAGTTGTGTGACTGGGGCTGTGCTCTGGACTGTTTCTATTCAGGCACAGCCTCAACCATTCCCTGGGAGTGTGTTTTCTCCCTCACCCTGCTTGTGTCCCAGATTTTTGCAGAGGTGATAAGGCCTGGGTCCCAGCCTGCCTGACTCTGTCCTGGGAAACTGTTTCTCAGTTTCCTCACCTAGGTTTCTGTCTGCAATAGGTGCACTTCATGGAGAAAGAAGCCTCTGGCTGGGTCTGGGCTCCAAGGGGAGGTGTGTCTGGGAAAGTGAGGCTGGCAGTTCTCTTGGGCAAGCAAGGACAGGGAAGGCAGGAACTTTGCAAAGGCAGAAAGGAGGTGTAAGGGACATGGCCTCCTACAAGAGTGACAGGTCACCTTTCCTGTGTCCCCAAAGAGAACCTTGCCCATGCTGGAATGTGCTGGGGTGTCCCTGAGAGAAGACTTTTTGCAGGAACTGGGGGAGGGGCCTTCTAGTCCTCACTGCATGGGGTGGGGACCTGAACTCACAGAGCTGACCCCCCAGTGTCCCTCAGGGGAGGCATCCTTCACCTTCTGTCCTCATATCCTGACCCCAATGTGGCTCTCTTTTCAGGGGAAATCCCACATTCTTTTCCCTCTGAACATACATGTAAAGGAGCAAAGCCTTGGAAAATCTATTGACAGTGTATAGTGTCTCTCACACAACTTTACAGACAAGTAAGAGTGGTAATAACATTGTCCACGACAACCAAACTGAAATTCATTCTCTCCCTGCCTCCTAGCCCCCCACGCATGAACTCCTTAAAAATTGGGACCTGTGAATGGGCTACTTGCTTCTCTCTCACCTGTGTCTGAAACAAACCTGGGCTCTGTGAGGTGCTAAGTGGACAATGAACTCCTAAATGAGTGACAGTGATGAAGCGATAGGAGATGGGGATGAGCACCTGGGAGTTTGTGAGTCCCAGGGCTCCAGGCCTTTCCCATGGTTTGGTTTCATGAGTCACCCACATATCTCCTCCTTTCCCTAATCTTGTTCAACCTGGAATTTCCAAATATGTGAAAAGTGGTCTCTTTCATCCAAACACTATGAGCTGTGGTTCAATGAGCAGTGCCTGGGGCTGTGAGGTCAGGGAGCTGACACCCCCAGGCCCGGAGGGTGTAAGGGGTGGACAGCGCGCAAAAGAAAGTGGGGAAAAGAGGAGATTCATAGGATACAAATAAAAGCTCTTTGGTGGATTCATTCTGGAAGAGGGGATGGCTGTGAAGCATGCCCTGTGCCATCCTGCTTGTGGACAAGGCTGTGGTGTTGGGCATGAGTGGGAGGCACTTGGAGGGAGTAGCACAGCGGGTAAGCAGGACATCCATCCTCTTCCACTGCCAAAGGGTACGCAGTGCCAAGATGATGTCTGGATCCTCCTGACCCCAGGGCAGGGCTCAGCGTGTCTCTGCAGGCCTGGACAGAAGGCAGGAGACTGGATGACATTACCCCCTTATCAAATAAAAGTACCTGCTAGAGACTGCAGACCTTCCTCTGATTCGCTGTAGCCAGTCGAGAGCCATGACTCCCCGAAACTACATCCTGGGTAAGGGGGACCCAACCCCAATTCCCTCAGAGCTCATCTCCGATCTCAGCCACCACCCTACTGTAGGGATTCGATCTGCCTGGCCATGGCAATTTTAGCTCAGCCCTATGGGAAAGCCCATAGACACGTGGTGGCTCGCAGGAGCCAAACCTCTGGGAAGTCAGGCCTGCATTATACCTAGGCTGCTTGTTATATATATACCTTGTTCTTGCTAAAACTCCCTCACCCTGAGTTCAAGCAGCAAATGCTTGCTGCATATCTTTAATGCAACTTCCTGAAGTCTGTGCTAATTCTCCCAAGGACTGAAATGTAACCAGACCTGTTACTCTTATTGTTCCTTTGTATTTGCAACAATTTTTTCCTGGTTAATCTGTAAGAAGTAATCAGTAACATCCCTTCCATTGCTATCTGTAAAAAGTAATTACCTAAAGCAAACCCAAGTATAGTGAATGAAAACCTTCTTTGATGTATGTTATTAGAAAGCCAATAAAAGCCTGGCAAGGCAAGGGTTGGGGCACTCTCCCCTTGAGAGAGTGGCTGTGCCATCCCTTTTTTCCACAGGACTCGGTAATCCATGTGAATTTGCCTTGTCTCATCCATAATGCCATGGACACTGCGGGCCAGTGTCCACATCACCCCATCCCAACCTCAGCCTAGTCTTACTCCTTAGCGCCAGGGCTTAGCCAATCTCCATCCTCAGTATCACCTCCATCCACATCTCCGATTCAGTTCTGAAGCTCATGTCTAATGCCACATGTATCCCTCTTCCTCCCACAAACCCAATCTTCTAATTTTTCACAGGGGTCCTCCCTAAAACAAGCCTCCAGTTCAGCCCCCTGAGAACCTGACAGCCCTTGAGCTCCCTGCTTTCATCTCCTGCCCAGGAAACACTCACCCTCCCCAGAGAACCCTACACCCACTTCTCCCAAGAGTCCTGCCAGCATCCTTCACCCTCCACAGGTCCATAATCCTAAGAAGCCTGGACACAGGTGACTCAGTCCCACCCTGCACTGCTCTGAAGCTTCCCCTGAGCCTCAGGCAGCACAGAGACCCCTCACACCTTCCCCTGCTCAGGCTGGGCTCCCCAAGGTGGGCCCATGGCTCCCCTTCGGCCTCACCCACCCGTCTCCTCTCCCACAGCTGTCTCGGCTGCTCTCTGCATTGTCACCCTCCTCTGCTCACATGGAGCCCCAGGTGAGCCCAGGAGGGACAGGGACATGTGGGGGTTGGATGTGACTCCCAGAGCGCGCCAGGCTGGGCCCTGCCTGCCCTGCCACCTGGTTCTCACCAGCTCTGTCTCCCAGTGTCTCCCACGGGCACTCAGCTGCTGCTATGCCAGTCACACACAAGGTGTGGGGACAAGTTCTATGACCCCCAGCAGCACTGTTGCTACGACAACGCTGTAGTGCCCTTGAGCAGGACCCGAAAGTGTGGGAACTGCACCTTCAGGGTCTGCTTTGAGCAGTGCTGTCCCTGGTCATTCTCACACCAGGAGACCTTCGTGGTCAAAGTGAGAGGCCAGGCATGTTCCTTGCCCCGGTCCTCGGACGACAGGGTTTGTTCCAGGTAAGGTCCTGTCCCCTTCACAGGAATGGGGCCTGGGGGGCCCGGGAGGGTCTGGATGCCAGGTCTGTCCATGATACCACCTCTGCACCCTGTTGTCAGTGTTCCCTGTCCCCGTCCACCTGCTCTCTTCATCTACCTGTCCCTTTCTCTCTCCTCTTGCTCTGATGTCTCTGTCTCCCTCTTTGCTGTCCTTCTCGTGTCTCTCTTTTCCACCCCTCTGCCCGTGTTCTGTCCGTCCCTCCAATTCTGGCCCCCTCTCTTTGCAGTGTCAGCTGACAGAGGATCCGCTGCTGGGTTCTGCTTCCTGGGTGAGCCGGGACACAGGGCCTGGTGCTGACAGAGCTCTGGGGCATGGGACAGATGCCTGGTGACAGGAGATACTCAGCTTCATCGCTCGTCTTGTTCTTGCTCCTTTAACACTAACCCTGCCCTGCGCTGGTGGCTGGTCCTCTTTCCATGACTCTGGCCAACATGGAGAGATTGCTTTGCTGTTGGAGGGTCCGGACACCTAGAGCCAGTCTCATGGAGCAGCATCCCCAGGCACTGGGGCCCCTTCTCTGAGATGGTTCATGACCTCAGGCCATTTTCTCTACCCACTGCAAAACACAAGGCACTATAACAACTTTGTAATTGTACACATACTGTCCTGGCTCATGAACGGTTGGGAAGGGTCATAAGTGGTAGACAGGGGGTCCTTTCTTTGGCTTCAAGGGGTCGCAAGGTTTGTCCACTTTTGCCAAATATAAGCAAATTTCAAGGTGCCTGTATTCACCATGATCCTCTGTTTTCACTAATAAAAATTCCATGTCATCACTGGGCTCCCGTTTTTGTCTCGCCCTCAGCAGTTTTTGTGACAGGGAGAGGGACGTGATCCCCAGGGAAGGAAGGGGCTTTAGCGTCTTGCTCCAGGGGAGAGAGGTTGTGGCAGCCTCGCCCCCTGGTGGGCACGGGTCAGGTGGAAGCTCTGAATGTGGACCTGCGAGGCGTCCCAGCACTGGGGAGGAAAAGGGCGCTGCTCCTGAGAGCCAGCTTGGGGCTGGACTTTCCACTTGTCACTGTCAGCAGAAAGGCATGCCCTGGTGGCGGAGACACACAGGCAGGAAGAATTTAACTTGCCTCCCTAAAATCATCTTGGAATAAATAAACCAAAGGGGCATCAGCATTTCCAATTGTGCCCTTTCACCCTAAACCAAGGGCACAAACTCCTTTCCCACGTTCTGCACTCTCCGACTACAATACCCGAGAGGAGCTGCAGTCCTGTGCTGAAGCAGAACTTCTAGAAAGAGCAGCGATCCGGTGCAGGGAGGAGGGGCAAGCGGCTCACAGTAGGCCCAGGGGATAGGGTGGGAGGGGCGGGTTGAGCAGACCTGGAACAGAGGTAGCAAATGCCTCCTGTCCTGTCCAGGTGTCACAGGTAACCAAGTTCTTAGTGATCGGGACAAAGAATTGAACCGAACACCCAGAGTTCATAGAAGAGAACATGGGAGCAGGCCAACTCCAAGCAGAGATTGACCTCATAGGCTGGAGGGACTCTATTCTTATAGGGAGGATCCTTCCTAGCTAGTTTTGGTGGGCTCTTACTGAGTATATACAAGTAGTTGCATTACTTTAAAGCTACTGTGCATGTGGTTTCCCACGATCCTCCCCAACTGGCCACCAGGGAAGAGGGTCTCACAATGCTACGGAATTAATCCCCATTTCTCCTGGGGTTCTCCTGTACTAGGCTCACCTTTCCCTTCGCCAGAGAATTATAGTTCTCCATGCTAGAGATTGGTGAAAAAGAAAAGTTATTTATTCAAGTTATACAGACTAAAAGTAATGACTTAGTGTCTTTGTTAAAATCCCAAAGTCCCTTGAAACACCCACAAACACACACAGTCCTTCCTTCCCTCCTTTGCCCAGTCTGGGGTACCGTATCTCAGGAAAAGAAATAGAAGTCCGTGGCTTAGGCAGCTCTCGGTTTTTCCTAGTAATTTGTGCTCAGCTGGCAGGCCTTCCTTAGTTCCCAGCACCACTGGATGTGTTGCCAGGATCTCCAGTTAAAGCCATGTGGTGATTCTTCTCATGGCTGCGGGGGTGGGGGAGGTGATGGTGGTGGAGATCCCCCTTTCTGGGAGAATGACGGCGGTAGAAGCAGCAGCAGTGCCCAGAGGGCTAGCTTGGAGCTTATCGTGTCCTGGCCCCAGGTCCAGAGCAGGTGGCTGCGAGGTTGGCCTAAGGCTCCAAGAGCCCGAGCGGTGAGAGCGTGGGTGCAGCGCACCGAGGCCTGGCGGTGGCTGCGGTGGCAGGGCGGCAGGGCGGCGACTAGTGCTCCCAAGTCACTTACTGGTGGCCCCTTCTCGTGGCCGCAGAGTCGGCTGGGGCTCGGAGCTGGGTGGCAGAGGAGCCGCAGGCAGCTGCATCGCGGATGGTGTCTGCACGGCTGCGGGAGTCCCCACTCTGCTAAAGCCGCATGGTTCTCTTCTCAATGACTGCCAAGTCTGGGTTTTAAATCCCCCTGGCCAACCTTCCTCTGCAGCCCCATTTCCGACTCCTCCTGTTACAGAACAAACAAGGGGGGGCCTGGGACAATATACTTTTATTGAAAGAAGTCCCTGGGTCCCTTATGTCCGCCACCCGAGGAAAGACGTCTCTCAATGCCAGAGATTCGTGAAAAGGAAAGGAAATGTTTATTTAATGCTATACAAACTTCAAGTAGTGACCTAATGTCTTTATCAAAAATCCTAAAGTCCCTAAAAACACCCACAAACAGACACAGTCCTTCCTTCCTTCCCCCTTTGCCCAGTCCAGAGTACCATATCTCAGGAAAGGAAATAGAAGTCCATGGCTCAGGCAGTCCTCTGGTTCTTCCCAGTTAGTCCTCCATCTCGACTGGGAGACCTCCCTGGGTTCCCAGCACCCTCAGCTGAGTCACCAGGATCTCTGCTAAAACCAGGTGGTGGTTCCCCCTTCTAAAGCTGCGGGGGTCCCCACTCTGGCAAAGGCACGTGGTCCTCTCTCCCAGGGCCACGGGAGTCTCCACTCTGTCAAGGCCGTGTGGTTCTCTCTCTCAGGGCTGTGGGAATCTTCACTCTGCTAAAGCTGTGTGGTTCTCCCTCTCAGGGCTGCCGTCTCTGGATTTTAAATCCCCGTGCCCGCCTACCTCTGCAGCCCCATTTCCGACTCCTCCCACATTCGGCTTCACACGCCAGAACTCATATCCTTCCAGCTTTACTGGGCTGCCATCATGAGTCTGGGCAGGTGTGGCCCCAAGTCCTGGAGCCAATCATCTCCAAGCTCCCACGTAGGCGCTGTAACTCGGGGGACCTGCCCCCTAGTTACGCCTTGGTGGGGAAGTTACTTCCATTCCCTTGGCTGAGCATGGCTACAGCTATTTAACATATCTAAGCAACCAGCCAAAGGCTATAGATATGTTAAATGACCACGCCAGAGGTTAGCTACAAGGCTGTTGCTATGCGAAACAGCTCTCAAAGGTCCTGCCTCATTTGTCCCTTCCCTCAACCCACACCCTGGCGGGGCGGAGGGGGGGGAGGGGTGGTGAAGACATCCTAAAATCCCTAGACACCTTGAGTTCTGGACCCCATTTTAAATGCCCATTTGGGGTCCCCCCTCTTGGCTGCACCCTGTAACACTCCCACACTTGGCTTCACATGCCAGAACTCTCAAAGCCTTCCAGCTTTACTGGGCTGCCATCAGGAGTCTGGGCAGGCGTGGCCCCATGTCATGGGGCCAATCTCCTCTGAGCTCCTATGCAGGCGCTGTAACTCCAGGGACCTGCCCCACAGTTACATTTGGGTGGGGAAGTTACTTCCATTCCCCTGGCTCAGAGCTGGCTACAGCTATTTAACATATCTATGCAACCAGTTAAAGGTTATGGATATGCTAAATGACCATGCCAGAGGGTAGCTGCAAGGCTGTTGCTATGCAAAACAGCTCTCAATGGCCCTCCTCCATTTGTCCCTTCCCCTGGGGTGGAGGGTGAGGACATTCTATATATTTTTCTAATATTTCCTGGACACTTTGAGTTCTGAACTCCATTACAAATCCTTCTTTTGGGGACCCTTTGGCTGCACCCTCCTACATCCTGAAATGGATCTCAGTCGAGCAGACTCCCCACCCCCCACTTGGTGTCCCAGACTTCCGGAAATGCTGGTGTGTGGGGGGGGGCTGCGACCTAGACTGAGGGGCCTGAGCTGAAACAGCCTTTGGTTGAAGGTTCAATCTTCCCCGTGTTGTTCAGTCCCCCGCCCACCACCACTGGCTGAGGGGGGCCCCTGAGAATCAGTCCTTCCTCTGAGGAGGAGGCCCGGAGCCTTGGGCATTGTCCACTCGGACCTCTGTCTCTACTCTGTGTCACTAAGTCCAGACCTGCCATTTGGCAGAAGCCTTTGCATGTAAGTCAAATAAAAAAGCAAAGCTCCTCCCCATCCTCAGCCCTTGTCATCCTCCCCTCCAAAGTGTTGGCAGGAGAGACCTGGTTCTTCTTGCTGACGCATGTAAAGAATTACATATCAGCAAATCTAGTAGTATGTAATCAGTTTATTAGTGGTTTGCTTCCATGGAAGAGAACAGGACTGGGTAGATTAGAGGGTGAAAGGGAAAGTTTCAGAGCAAAGCAGGGTGAGAAAAGCAAGAGCAGGTGAAGAGCAGAAGACCAGGGTAGCAAGCCCCTGGGCAGCCTAAGACCGGGTGGCCAGAGGCCCTGTGGCCAGAGAACCAAGAGAGAGGGAGAGAGGGAGAGAGGGAGAGAGAGAGAGAGAGAGAGAGGGAGAGAGGGAGAGAGGGAGAGAGGGAGAGAGGGAGAGAGGGAGAGAGAGAGAGAGAGAGAGAGAGAGAGAGAGAGAGAGAGTCCTTTGTTCTCAGGACCTATATAGTTGGTGGGATAGGAGGGAAAAAAGTTACATATTGATTAATGGGTAAATGTAGTGCCAGCTTTCCTGGGGGAATGTGACTACCCAAATTTAGGGATGAATGGGGGTCTGTTTGCCCGAATTCTGATCTTGTTCCAGACTCCATTTGGTCATTCTGTTGTAAAACAAATACGTGACAGGAGGCAGTTAATTAAATTTTGGGGCAATTTCCAAAGTTATTTATGGGCTCTTTCTGTAAGAATCAGGGACTCTCTCCTAAAACAGATAGTGACCAGAGGTAGACAATTAACCAAACTCGAATTATGGGCTCTTTCTTGCTAATATAGTGTTTCTTGTGATATTGGAACACCTGGCGATATTATCAGGTGTTCAGACTTAGGACTGCTGACTTAGCATGTGAGACTT